ATTATTCAATATTTAAAAAAATAACAATATGTAAGGTTAATCTCTGGGCAGATGTGCATTATCTCCCTAATGCCAGCCATACACATTCTGTATATGTGGCAATTGCTAAAATGACCATCTCCATTTTAACTACAGTTTTCGCAAGTCAGCCCCACTGTACATACTAGTTAAAAACCTAAGGTATATGTTACATTGCCTTGATATTTGTTTATATAATTCACCATAGGGTCGCACTGGTACCATTGTTTTTAATAGGCGAGTACAAGTAACGATACTTGTGCCCAAGTATTCGCCGATACCGATACCTTTGCAGTGCGATTTGAGCCAGTACAAAATTAATGGGCTCAAATTGCACTGCAAAGAATAGCATGTGATTTTAACAGGAATGCGGTGTGATTCTTGCCCCAATCACATGCAGTTTCCCTGTGGGTGCGATTTGAACCATACAACGGCCAAACAATTAACTAAATTAATTTGACCCATCTATGCCCTGCATTAGTGTGCTGCAGCATCGGCCATTTTTCATGTGGCCATTGAATATGAGTGATTGGGCATGTTGGAAATTATTTGAAAAACAAACTAATTCTAATCAATGATTGGAGAATTGTGCAAGACATGTAATTAAGAAAGAAATGAGCATGGGCTGTGACCTGGAAAGAAAAAGACTATTCCCAGCCAAGAAAATTTTTTTCTGTAGCAACATGAGGTGAAATTGCAGGCTTGGCTGGTCAAATTTTGTAATCAATAGCACCCTCAGATTACAAAATGCACGAAAATTATGATATAAAGAAATTTAATTCAGAGTTCGACCCATGTATGGCCTGCCTTAGCTGGAGTTTGGCATCAAATTGTTAAAGTCCATTTAGATCTGCTAATCTAGAACTACTCTCTTCCCAGACTGACAATGCTGCTGTCTCCATTCCTCCTCCATCCAGAGTGGAGACACCCTAAAACAGGAAGAGTGTTACTGTTTAGATCACTATGTAAAATTAAGAGAGAAAAGGCCTTTTAAATTAAAAGAAAAAAAAAATGAATGCAGCTGCCAAATTTAAAGTGGTTGTAAGACTCAGACATGAAATCTGAACAAAGCATACAGAGTTGGGGGGGGGGGGGTGCTGATTCCCTCCAATCAGCTCTCAGAGCTCTCCTCACTGAGCTCTGTAGTGTGTAATATCTGCTCCCTGCCCCATTTTCACAAAGCTCAGACAAGCTGTATACATTCTGGACTTTAAACAGATGTAGAGAAGAGGAGGCTGCACATAAACAGGTACAACTTATGTAGGAGGATTTGTTTCATCTCTGTGTGTCACCTCAGGCCAGTCACTTCACTGGGTATATGTAATGGTTTACAACCACTCTAACACTTGGCAAACTGCATAATATAACATTTTTGTTTTTAGTTTTAACACTTCTTTTGCTGTATGGGGCACAATAAAAAAATTAGTCCCTATAAGCACATTTAAAAAGTTGGTGCAGAGAGCACTGTGAATGTACCTATACTGAACAAACCATAACAACCAATAAGAGTTAACCTTATTGTAGTCCAATAAATTAAGCTGTTATTTCTGAATTGTGACAGGTTTGACATTTTTGTTAACATTTCTTTATTGGATTAGCCAGATTGTGTTTGAATGTCAATGAGAAAATGGTGGCATGCCTACACATATCCTACAACAGTTCTTTTTAACCACTTGTCCGCTGCCCTATAGCAGAAATATTGCTACAGGGTGGCACGGCTGTGCAAAATCACATATATATACGTGATTTTACATTTCCAGGTAGGGGGCCACCATTGGTGGCTTCAGCTGTCGATCACCGGGTCCCAGCTGGTGATTCCCTGCCAGCACCCGGCGATCACCGAGTATCACTGACGGGGGAGAGGTCTGTATGTAACAATACAGATCTCTCCCCTGTCAGCTCCAGCACACTGCTTTGTATTGCACTGCATAGCAGAGCAATACAAAGCAGAGTGCTTACACTGTAAAATACACACAGCACACAGTAAAACAGCACACAGTTAACCCTTTGGTCACCCCAGATGTTAACCCCTTCTTGCCCAGTGTCATTAGTACAGTGTCAGTTCTTTTTATTAGCACTGATCACTGTATTACTGTCACTTGGGATGTCAGTGACAGTTAGTCAGTTCCCTGCCAGTGTCAGAATGCCTGACGCAGTCCCGCAATAAGTCACTGATCACCGCCATTACTAGTATAAAAAAAACAAAAAAAAAACCCAGTATATATACCACCATTTTTAAACGCTATAACTTTCACGTAAACCAATTAATTTACACGTATTGGGATTTTTTCTAGCCAAGACATGTAGCAGAATACATTTTGGTCTAAATTTATGACAAAATTTTATTTTTAAATTTTTTTACTACACATGTTTAACCACTTGCCTACAGGGCACTTATACCCCTTTCCTGCCCAGGCCAATTTTCAGCTTTCAGCGCTGTCACACTTTGAATGACAAGATTGCGCGGTCATGCAACACTGTACCCATATGAAATTTTTATCATATTTTTCACACAAATATGATAAAATGGTGGTATTTACTTGACGCTAGGTGTTTTATTTTTTGTGCTATAAACAAAAAAAGAGCAAAAAATTAGAATAAAAAAGGTTTTCTTTGTATCTATTATGAAATTTTGCAAACAGGAAATTCTTCTCCTTCATTGATGTGCGTTGATGAGGCTGCACTGATAGGCAGCACTGATGGGCACGGATAGGAGGCACTGATAGGTGGAACTGATGAGCTGCCACTGATGATGCTGTACTGATAGATGGCACTGGTGGGAAGCATTGATGGGCAGCACTGGTGGAGGGCACAGCTGGGCACAGGTGGATGGCACTAATGGGCACAGGTGGTTGACACTGATGGGCAAAGGTGAGTGGCACTGTTGGCCACAGGTGGGTGGCACTGCTGAGTAGAACAGGTGGGTGACATTGATGGGTACAGGTGGGCAGCACTGATGGAAACAGGTGGGTGGCGCTGCTGGGCACTGATCATCAGTGCACTGATCATAAGTGCCCCAATGATTAGTGCCAATCCCTTCGCTGACAACTACAGGTTCTCAGCAGTACTTTGACAGCATGTGGAAAGTGCAGTCGAGAACCGGCAACTGTATTTCCTTGTATAGCCGTGTCATTGGACACAGCTGGTCACGTGGTAAAAGTCCGTAGGACACAGTGATCACCGGCAGTGTTCACAGGGGGGCGGGTTCTGGAATGATGTCCATGGACATAGTCCCAGGAATCCACAACCGCGCTGTAGCCGTCCTACAGCTATAGCGCGGTTGGGAACTGGTTAATAGCAAAAAGTAAAAAAAAAATTTTCTCAAAATCGTCAGTCTTTTTTTGTTTTTAGCACAAACAATAAAAAAAACACCCAGGCAATCAAATACCACTGAAAGAAAGCTCTATTTGTGGGAAAAAAAGGACATAAATGTCATCTGGGTGCAGTGTTGCAAGTCCGCACAATTGTCAGTTAAAGTAATACAGCGCCATATCGCAAAAAATGGCCTGGTCAGGAAGGGGGGTAAATCCTCTGGAGGGCAAGTGGTTAATCACTGACTATACTTATGAATCATTTTATAAATTATATGCTTTATTTTTTAAATATCAAAAAAGTCAGATTATTTAAAGTGTATCTAAATTCAAGAACAAAAATTCATAGTTACTTTATTACTTTATTAAACCCCTATATAATAGCATTTGGCAGGTGATAGGTACTCATGATACACATGTGTATGAGAGAGTGTGGGGTGCTGGCAGCTGAGCAATAGACTTTTTACATAGCAGCTCACAAAACACACTACAATTTAAAGTGCCAAAGCTTGACATGTTGGATTTGACACTAATTTCCTTGCTACATTATTTTTGCTGAAAATGTGATTTAACTGAGAAACAGTAAAGAGCATGTAGGACTACAAACCAACTTCCTCTCTTCTCCATAACAGGGGGAGAAGTTTGTAGTCCACATGGATAGCAGGGGACAATGCTGATAACAGTGCAGAGTCTAAGAGTTCAGAAAGTTAACAGCTCACAAGATTTCTGATTGGCTGAACAGCTTTTGTTTTGCACTTTTTTTGCAAACTAATATGTGTTGCAATAAAGGGAGAAGATAAGAGAAATTTATTGTTGGAGTCTACATACACTTTAACCTTTCAAAATACATTAACAATAGGAATTAGCATGGGATCAGTGATAGCCACAGTTGCAAAATATAGTAAAACTAAAGCCATCATTAATATATAATTAGCATTTTCTGTCTAATAATAATGTGTAACAGCTTCATTTGATGTACAGCTATGTGTACAATTTACCCTCCACTCTCAGGACAGATCAGACAGCAAAGGTCGCTGGAGAAATTGGAAGGTCGTGTTCCTAGTGGACAGGTCAAAGGGCAACATTTTTTGAACTGGTGCCAAGAGTCTTCTGTAAATGTCTGCATTGTCCTGTCCATTCATATATATTTATATCTTCACGTATATAGCTCTAGCCTGCTTGAAGATGAGACAAGACATTTGTGTCAGAGAAGAGTTGTAGCCTAGCGATTGTTAGTGATGTTCAGTGAAATGTCAACTTTACATATGCAATTGGGTATTTCTAAAATGTTTGTATGAGATGAAATGGAAAGCTAGCCATACATGGATTGATATTTGGCTGGTTCAGCAGGGACTGGCTGAATTTTGATCCTCGTATGGGCAACCTGCATAGGCAAGAACCCTAACAATATATACGTATGTAAAGAGCAGCGTAAATTGGCAGCACTATATAAGTACCTGTAATAAAATAAAAAACATGCTTTTGTTTGTATCTAAGACACAGCTCTCCTACTTACTTTATAATACCACTTAGGCTTAGTTTAAACTGAGGGGGATAGTAACAACAGGTGGTTTAATGAACACAGCAGCGGAGGGGGCTGTACACATGTGGACCATGGCAAGAATTATAATCCTTGTCACGTTTTATAATTCAATAAATCAATTCAAAATCACTTACAGACAGGGGCGGACTGACCATTTGGAAACTCGGGCACTGCCCGAGGGCCCGGGGGGCAGTAGGGGGCCTCATGAGATGCCCCTGGTACCTTTTTTGAGTTTAGGCAAGGACACGGGCCCCATGATCCCCTATTGCCCAGGGGCCCCATGAGTTGTTAGTCCACCTCTGCTTACAGACTTTATTGCCAATCACGAGCATTAGGTAATGAGCCCAGTGTGAGGCGCATGATGACATTACTGACCAGGGGCAGACTGACAACTCATGGGGCCCCCGAGCAATAGGGGATCATGGGGCCCCTATGTCCTTGCCAACACTCAAAAAAGCCTATGAAAAAGGTACCAGGGGCATGTCATGGGGCCCCCTACTGACCCTCGGGCAGTGCCGAGTTTCCAAATGGTCAGTCCACCGCTGTTACTGACTCCATCCCACTCGTTTCATCACTTCTGGACTTCCTCCGTGGCATCAATAGGAAACTCTTACTATCTCCACTTCTCAATATCTGTTCAGTTCCACTGTCTCTGTTTTCATTCACCAAACTTATGAAGGCAATATAAGGCAAGATAAAACGGCCCAATAAAACCGTTAAAGTGATTCTAAGTGTATGTTATTTTTAAATAACAAACGTGTTATACTTAACTGCTCTGTGCAATGGGTTTGCACAGAGCATCCTCAATACTCCTCTTCTTCTCCTGCCAGCACTCTTGGCTTCTTCCCCCACCAAGTGCCTACCATAGCAAGCCTCTTGCTATGGGGGCACTTGTGCATACTCGCTCCAGAGACACTATACGACACACAGGGCTCAGTTCACTAACAGTTATTTTTCTCTTAAAATCTGAGATAAAATAATGCTTTTTTCAAACTTTTTTTGCAATTCAAAATATAAAGCATGAATTATTTCATCAAAATGTGAGCTATTTTACTCATGAAACCATGCAGTATTTTATCTCATGACAAGAGATCCAGTGGAATGGATACAGTAGAGAAGGATTAGAACCCCTGTCAGTTTTTATTGCTAATAAAGAGGCAAAGTGTTTTCACACCATAGAAATATGCCAACTCACTAAGCCAGTGTGGTCCCTGCAGCATATGTATTCAATCGTGTAATTAGGTTTTGTACTGTCCTAGGCAACACAAAAATTGTCTGCCCCCATGGACACCAACCAACACAACCCCCCCTTCCCCCTCCCATGGAGAGAGCCTGACATTGACCAACAACACCCCTGCCCCCCACCTGGGAGAGCCTTCCACTACATCCACCCACAGCGATAGAGAGACACTCATCTTCACAGCTCTGGACATCCCCAGGAACGTGAGCCAGGCTCTACATACACCATCAAGCAGCCTGCAGCCTCTCTCAGATCCCACCTAGTTCCCATGGTGCGTGTGTCCCTTCTTTCATCGCTTCTTCTGGGGAGAGGTGCTGCCCCCTGAAAATTGCTGCCCTAGGCAAGTGCCTTGTTTGCCTTGTGGTAAATATATGCCCCTGTATGTATTAATACAAAAGAAAAAAAGTGACTAGAATACCAGTCAAAGGGAAGCTGCTTTCAAAGGACAGACATGATGTATCAAGAACAACGAAGTTAAATTAGGTAAATACAAAATATCTTTATAATTGTCAAATATTGATTGAAATTGGTATACAAAAATCACAAACACATATATATTAATACCCTTCAACCAATAAAAAAGACAACGTTGTCATTGGGGAGATTTTCCTTGACTTTCAGAACCAGTGCCCCATCGGAAGATTTCCCCTCTATTACTTTTCTGGGGACAACCCAAAATTTGGGATTTTCTTTTACATTTACTTTCGATGATAATGGTAAACAGGACAAATAGAAAGGGTGAATCTCCCTAACAGGGACATAGACAGCAATAAAAACTGACAAGTGTTCTAATCCATCTCCACTCTATCCAAAACAGAAAGAAAGGGTTTGCCTTTAGTTATACTTTACATAAATCAGCCCCAATGACTCTGTGTCTTTCCATATTTAGCTTTCTATGCATTACTGCTGAGAAACTGATCCAGAGAGGTAGAGACTCCTCCAAATTGGTGATTCTATTTTACATTCCTTAACCACTTGCCTTGACTGAGGCACTAAATGGCAGCCCTTTTGGGTGGCACTGCTGGGGACAACTGTGGGTGGCACTGCTGGGCAGACTCATGGGTGGCCCGCTGGGGAGGTGGGGGTGGCACTGGGGGCATGTGGGCGACATGTGGGCATGGTGGGTGGCATTGCGGGGGATGTTTGGGGAGCATGATGATCAGACCCCTGTAATCAGCACACTGATTATCGTGTATGTCCTCGTGTATTTGCCATTAGCGGCATTCCCTTTACCCTAAAAAATCTCATAACCCAAATTAAACTTTTTCCTTTTTTAACAAATCCCACTTTTTTACTAAAAAAAAAAACATCATACCTTACCTCAAAAAAAAAAAAAAAAAAAAAAAAAAAAAAAAAAAAAAAAAAAAAAATAAAAAAAAAAAAAAAAAAAAAAGAAAAAAAATAAAAAAAAAAAAAAAAAAAAAAAAAAGAGAAAAAAAGAAGAAGAAGAAAGGGAAAAGGGAAAGAAAGAAAAGGAAGAAGAAGAGAAAGAAAGAGAAAGAAGAAAGGGAAAGAAAGGAAGAAGAAGAAGGAAAGAAGAAAAGAAAAAAAGAAGAAAAAGAAGAAAAAGAAGAAGAAGAGAAAGAAGGGAAAAAGAAGAAGAAGAAAGAAGAAAGAAGAGAAAGAAGAAAAGAAGAGAAAAGGAAAAGAAGAAGAAAAGAAAAAGAAAAAAGAAAGAAGAAGAAGAAGAAAGGAAAAAAGAAGAGGAAAAAAGGAAAAAAGAAAAGAAGAAAAAAGAAAAAAGAAGAAGAAGAAAAGGAAAAGAAGAAAAAAAAAAGAAAAGAAAAGAAAAGAAAGAAGAAAAAAGAAGAAAAAGGAAAGAAAAAGAAAAAAAAGGGAAAGAAAAAAAAAAAAGAGAAAAGAAAAAAAAAAGAAAAAAGAAAAAAGAAGAAAAAAGAAAAAAGAAAAGAAGAAGAAAGAAGAAGAAGAAAAAAAGAAGAAGGAAGAAAAGAAAAAAGAAGAAGAGAAAGAAGAAAAGAAAAAAAAAAGAAAAGAAAAAGAAAAAAAAGAAGAAAAAAGAAGAAGAAGAAAGAGGAAAAGAAAAAGAAAAAAAAAGAAAAAGAAGAAAAGAAGAAGAAGAGAAGAAGAAAAAAAAAAAAAAGAAGAAGAAAAGAAGAAAAGAGAAAGAAAGGGGAAGAAGAAGAAAAAGAGGAAGAGGAAGAAGAAGAAGAAGAAGAAGAAAAGAGAAGAGGAAGAAAAAGAAGAAAGGGAAAAAGGAGAGGAAAGAAGAAGGGGGGAAGAAGAAGAAAAGGAAGAAGAAGAAGAAGAAAAAGAAAAAGGGAAAAAGAAGAAGAAAAAAGAAGAGAAGAAGAGAAAGAAGAAGAAGAAGAAAGGGAAAAAGAGAAAGAAGAAGGAAAGAAGAAGAAAAAAAGAAGAAAAAAAAAGAGAGAAGAAGAAGGGAAAGAAGAAAAGAAAAAAGAAAGAAAAAGAAAAGAAAAAGAGGAAAAAAAGAAGAAGAAGAAAAGAAGAAAAAAGAAGAAGAAAAGAAGAAGAGAAAGGAAAAAATAAAAAAAAAAAAAAAAAAAAAAAAAAAAAAAGAAGAGAAAAAAAGAAAAAAAAAAAAAAAAAAAAAAAAAAAAAAAAAAAAAAAAAAAAAAAAAAAAAAAAAGGGAAAAAAAAAAAAAAAAAAAAAAAAAAAAAAAAAAAAAAAAAAAAAAAAAAAAAAAAAAAAAAAAAAAAAAAAAAAAAAAAAAAAAAAAAAAAAAAAAAAAAAATAAAAAAAAAAAAAAAAAAAAAAAAAAAAAAAAAAAAGGGGGGGGGGGGGGGGGGGGGGGGGGGGGGGGGGGGGGGGGGGGGGGGGGGGGGGGGGGGGGGGGGGGGAAAAGAGAGAAAAAAGAAGAAGAGAAAAAAGAAGAAGAAAGAAGAGAAAAAAAAGAAGAAGAAAAAGAAAAAAGAAGAAAAAAGAAGAAAGAAAGAAAAAAGAAGAAAAAAGAAAAGAAGAAAAAGAGAAAGAAAAAAAGAAGAAGAAAAAAAGAAGAAAAAGGAAGAAGAAAAAAGAAGAAGAAGGGAAGAGAAAAGAAGAAGAGAAAGAAAAAGAGGGGAAAAAAAAGAAGAAGAAGAAGAAGGAAAAAAGAAAGAAGAAGAAGAAGAAAAAGAAAGAAAAAAAAGAAGAAAAAGAAGAAGAAGAAGAGAGGGAAAAAAGGAGAAGAAAAGGAAAAAAGAAAAAAAGAGGAAGAGAAAAGAAGAAAAAGAAAAGAAGGGGGAAAAAGAAGAAGAGGGAAGAAGGGAAAGAAGAAGAAGAAGAAAGAGGAAGAAAAAGAAAAGGAAAGAAGAAGGGAAAAAGGAAGAAGAGGAAGAAAAAGGAAAAAGGGAAAAAAAGAGGAAGAAGGAAAAAGAGAGAGAAAAAAGAGAAAAGAAAAAAAGAAGAAGAGAAAAAAGGGAAAAAGAGGAGAAGAAAAGGAAAAAAGAAGAAGAGGAAAAAAGAAGAAAAAAGAGAAAAAAGAAGAAGAAGAGAAAGAAGGAAGAAGAAAAGAAGAAGAGAAAGGAAAGAAGAAAAAAGAAGAGAAAAAAGAAGAAGAAGAGAAAAAGAAGAAGAAGAAAAAAGAAGAAGAGAAGAGAAAAAAGAAAAAGAAGAGAAAAAAAGAAGAAAAAGAGAAAAGAAAAAGAAGGGGAAAGAAGAAGAAGAGAAGGAGAAAGAAGAATTCCAGTCCCCCTTTATATTGACTTTAAAAAAGTTTTTGCTGTTAAAAACAATGTATCTATTTGTATCTAAAAAAAACCTTGTACCGAAATAGTTACAAATGATACATTTTGCCCCGCAATTTTTTAATGTAAAAATATAATAGCGGGGTCTTTTTCGGGACGAAGAAATTTAAAAATCCCGCCGTAGACAGGAAGAAAACGGCCAATTTTTTTTATGTTGGTGGAAGTCGGCTATAAACGACCGATTTTTCTTTTTTTTTTAAAAAAAATGGCCGTTTTCCCCGTCTATGGCCTGCATTTGTTCTCTTTTTAAAAAAAAAAAATGCCTATGCAGAAAGGT